AGAGAAAGACAGAGATCATCCATCTGAGAGTTCCCTTCCCAAATGCCTGGAACAGCCCAGGCTGGAGCTCACGTGGGGAACTCAGGCTGGGTCTCCCAGTTGGGTAGCAGGGATCCAAGTACTCAAGCCATCAAGTGTTTGGCCCATGGTCTAGTTTAAAAGACACCACCATGGGCCAGCGCTGTGGTGTAGTGGGTAAAGCCGTCTCCTGCAATGCCGGCATCCCATATGGGCGCTAGTTCAAGACCCAGCTGCTCCTCTTCCGATTCGGCTCTCTGCTATGGCCTGGGAAAGCAGAAGAAGATGGCTCAAGAACTTGGGCCCCTGCATTTGCGTGGGAGACACAGAAGAAGCTCCTGGCTTCAGATCAGCCGTTACAGCTATTTGGGGAGTGAACCAGCAAATGGAAGATCGCTCTCCCACTCTCATTCTGCCGCTCTGTAACTCTGCCTTTCAAATAAATAAAAATAAATCTTTAAAAAATAAATACATTTTTTTTAAAAAAGACACTACCATTTCAAAACACACAATGTATAAGAACCTTAATTGGATCTGGGCTTTCAAAAAAAAAAAAAAGAGAGAGAGAGAAAATTGAATCTGACTTGTGTTTTGGTTGCTGTTCATTTTCTCAGATGTGATGATGACATTGTGCCTATGAGGGATCATGACTTTAAGATTTATTTATTGAAGATTTATTTATTATTTATTTATTGAAAGGCAGAGTTACAGAGAGGCAGAGAGAAAGAGAGAGAGCTCTTCCATCCACTGGTTCATTCCCTAAGTAGCCACAACGGCTGGAGCTGGGTCAATCCGAAGCCAGGAGCCAGGCACCTCCTTCGGGTCTCCCATGTGAGTGCAGGGGCCCAAGGACTTGGGCATCTTCTACTGCTTTCCCAGGCCATGGCAGAGAGCTGGATCGGAAGTGGAGCAGCCAGGACTCAAACCAGCACCCATATGGGATGCCGACACTGCAGGTGGCAGCTTCACCCGCTATGCCACAGCGCCGGCCCCGTGACCTTTTTCTTAGGATATCAGTGAAGTATTTAGGAGTGAAGCAAAGGTGTCTGCAACTTACTTTCTCAAATGGCTCCACAAAGAACAAAGTGAAGTGAAGAGTATACAGCTGCTAACTATATTTTAATTTTCCTGAGGGTTTAAAGTTGTCAAGTAAAAGGAAGATTTTTTTAAAAAACTTACAAGAGTCCAATGATTCTTTTTTTTTTTTTTTTTTTTTTTTTTTTTTTTTGACAGGCAGAGTGGACAGTGAGAGAGAGAGACAGAGAGAAAGGTCTTCCTTTGCCGTTGGTTCACCCTCCAATGGCCGCCGCGGCCGGCGCACCGCGCTGATCCGATGGCAGGAGCCAGGAGCCAGGTGCTTTTCCTGGTCTCCCATGGGGTGCAGGGCCCAAGCACCTGGGCCATCCTCCACTGCACTCCCTGGCCACAGCAGAGAGCTGGCCTGGAAGAGGGGCAACCGGGACAGAATCCGGCGCCCCAACCGGGACTAGAACCCGGTGTGCCTGCGCCGCAAGGCGGAGGATTAGCCTAGTGAGCTGCGGCGCCGGCCAAAAAACTTACAAGAGTCCAATGATTCTTAAGAGATCAACTAATCCAACCCCTTGTTTTATGAATGGGGAAACTGAGGCCTGGGGCGAGAAAGAGACTCATCTGAGGCCTCCGGCTGGTTACCAAGAGCTAGAGTTTGTGCTGCTATTCTCCCTGCAGCTGCTGCTGATGGCAGGCTGGGGCACCAGCAGGAGGGAGGCAGTGGGTGGGCTCACAGAGAGGGGCCTTGGCAGGAGGGACCATCTGGGGCGCATCACAGGGTTATAGGTCCCAGCCACCGCCCAGGTGGGAGAAGGTTCTGACCTGCAACGTGCAGGCCGAGACCCCAAGCTCCAATCCCCCAAACTGCTCTTGCTCCTTTTTTTCTCCTCTTTAAATTCCTTTCCTTCCTGTCATCCTCTAACTTACTCTCCCCACTTGTTTCCAACTATTCTATTGCACGCGATCATTTTGCTTTCTCCACCAAGAACAAGACACCATAGAAATACAAATTTTGGAATTGCACAAACCTGAGGCCCTGCCCCGCCCACTGGCTGTGCAATTTGGGAGGTCACTTAATCCTGTCAAGTCTTGGTTCCCACACCTTCGAAAACTTACTCCTTTGAAAGGTGTGTCAGGGCTGGCGCTGTGGCATAGTGGGTAAATCTGCCACCTGCCTTGCCAACATTCCATATGGGCGCAGGTTCGAGTCCCAGCTGCTCCTCTTCTGATCCAGCTCTCTGCTATGGTATGGGAAGGCAGTAGAAGGTGGCCCAAGACCTTGGGCCCCTGCACTCACATGGGAGACTTGAAGGAAGCTCCTGGCTCCTGGCTTCAGTTTGGCGCAGCTCTGGCTGTTGCAGCCATTTAGGGAGTGAACCAGCAGATGGAAGACCTCTCTCTCTCTCTGCCTGCCTCTCTGTAACTCTTCCTTTCAAATAAATAGATAAATAAGTCTTTAAAAAAGGGGGGGGGGGAGTGAGGGGCTGACGCCGCGGCTCACGAGGCTAATCCTCCACCTGCGGCGCCAGCACCCTGGGTTCTAGTCCTGGTTGGGGCGCCAGATTCTGTCCCGGTTGCTCCTCTTCCAGTCCAGCTCTCTGCTGTGGCCCAGGAAGGCAGTGGAGGATGGCCCAGGTCCTTGGGCCCTGCACCCACATGGGAGACCAGGAGGAAGCACCTGGTTCCTGGCTTCAGATCGGCGCAGCATGCTGGCTGTAGTGGCCATTTGGGGGATGAACCAACGGAAGGAAGACTTTTCTCTCTGTCTCTCTCACTGTCTAACTCTGCCTGTCAAAAAAAAAAGGGGGGGGGTGTCATTCAATGAGCCAGTGTGGCCATTCTGAAATATTTTCTGTTTTTTGCACCAAGTGCCAGACACAGTGTTGGGCACTGGGACAAAACCATAGTTCTTTGAAGACTATTTTATGTATGAATTGGCTCATTATCTCCATTTTATATGAGGAAACTGAGGCACGACTGGGGTTCAGTTTCTTTTTTGTTTTTATTGTTGTTGTTGTTTTTTAAGATTTATTTATTTGAAAGGCAAAGAGTTACAGAGAGGCAGAGAGAGAGAGAGAGGTCTTCCATTGGGGTTCACTCCCCAAATGGATGCAACGGCCGGAGCTGCACTGATCTGAAGCCAGGAGCCAGGAGCTTCTTCTGTCTCTCCCATGCAGGTGCAGGGGCCCAAGGACTGGGGCCATCTTCTACTGCTTCTACTGCTTTCCCAGGCCATAGCAGAGAGCTGGATCTGAAGCAGAGCAGCCAGGACCTGAACCAGAGTCCATATGGGATGCCGGCGCTGCAGGCAGCAGCTTTACCCGCTAGGCCACAGCGCCGGCCCCGGGCTGAGTTTCTTGTTGGCAAATCTAGTAAATGTCACCGGTTCCTGGAGTCCAAGTCCTGGGTGCCGCTAACGAGGAGGAAGACAAAGTCCAGGCCCTCATTCTAGAGGAAATGAAGTCTGGACACTAGGGTGCGCAGTCTGTGACGGACAGGTGCTAGCTCCCCGTCCTCCCGACTCAGAAGCAGAACAACCCAGGACGACGAGAGGCCATCTGAGCAGGGTCCTGCGTCCACTTCAGCGGCGGCTGAGCGAGCGTTGTGTGACAGGGGTGACTCGACCCCTGCGCTGGTGCCTCTCGAACTTCCGCAGGCCTCAATCTCTCCAGCAGGCCCGGGGGGAGGCCCGACAGCCGCACTGGTGACGGGGTCCCCGTGTGCTGATGCAGCAGCTGCTCCGGGGACCCCTCGGGAGACCCCACAGGGCTGGGCCGTGAAGACGAGGGGGCCTCGCCGGAAGGAACACAACCGGCGAGCGAGCGAGACGAGGTCGGAACCCAGCGCTGTCTGCCTCCGCCCCGCCGGAGGAAGAGGCGGCGACAGGGTTGCCCTGTCCACGTCTGTCCACTTCGCTTTAGAGTTTCTGTTCCTGGAAGACAAGTCAAGGTTCAGCGTATGCGTGAGTAACACATGTCCATTTCCAGGGAGAACAAAAGACGGCCTGTGAGAGACATTTTGAAGTGTTCCTGTCCGTTCAAAAAATCATTCCTCTTCTAGAAATCCTATAATGAGAATGGTCCAGAACACAGATACTGGTAACCTAAATATCAAATATGAAGGGACTGGCTAAACAAACGATGGTGTATATAAGTGATGGAAAATTACAAAGCCATCGAGAATTATTTATTTAGAGTTTTTACAACATGTCAAAGTGTTTATGGTATAATATTAAGTAAAGCAGAGCATAGAACCAGATTCAAAAAGCTCTGAGTGTTACTAAAACCACCAAAAAGAGACTAAGAGGAAACCAACTATGACATTGACAACAGTTTATCTCTGCTTCTAATAATTTTCTGTACTTTCCACATTTTTAAAGATTTATTTTATTTATTTGAAAGTCCTGGTTAGAGAGAGAGAGAGAGAGAAGTCTTCCATCTGCCGGTTTACTTCCAAATGGCTGAGCAGCCAGGGCAGAGCCAGGAGCCAGGAGCTTCTTCTGGGTGTCCCATGTGGGTACAAGGGCCCAAGCACTTGGGCCACCCTCTGCTGCTTTCCCAGGCCACAGCAGGGAGCTGGATCGGAAGAGGAGCAGCTGGAACTCCAACCAGCGCCCACATGGGGTGCCGGCGCTGCAGACAGCAGCTTAACCCGCTGCACCACGGCTCCAGCCCCACCTTCCACACTTTCCACAGAGAGATTTCTTAGACAAAGACACTGCACATTTTCTTTCTGGCGATGAAACACAACAGATATTATCAAGACTCTTGTGCAGGTAGTCACTCCCCGAATGGCCAGGAAAACTGAAACCGTGGATTTTAAAAGCTAATATTTAATTTTAGATTACATTTTTCCCTGACCCTAGAATGTATATTTTTAAAGAAACAAAAGAAAAAAACTCAAATGACAACTATTATTATAAATACATGGAAAAAAAAGACTCGATACATATAGAAATTGTAACAGGGATTTATTTTGGTTGGTGATATTGTATGGCTCTTTAAATCTCTTTTTAGCTTAATTTTTATACCTTTCCCCCAGTTAATATCTATTACTTTGGTAATAAAAATAAGCATCTGCTGACTCTCTTTTTAAGAGACAACCACCAAACCAATGACAGCACCTCTATACAATGGAACAGCAATAGCAATTTAAAAAATGCTGCAGGAGACTAAATTTACTGACACGAAACACAGCCTGACCACACTATAAAACAGTATGTTTAGAATGATCCCGGTGTTTTGTTTAAAAACAAAGCAAACACAGAATGTCTGTATATACATAGAAAATACCTTATTTTTCCGACAAGCACAAAACAACAAAAAAGTTTTTAAGAAGCCTACATTAAACATAAAGTTATCTTGCTAAATATAAAGAGAGAGAGAGAGACGTTCCAATTCCACCCCAGCCTGAGTGTCTGAGCGGTCAGCAGGGGTCCTTTCTCCGGAGCAGGACCTCGTGATGGGGCGAAAATGCGCTGTCTGGAAACTCAAACAAGACCCTGGTGGAGAAGGTCAAGGGGAAAAATCCAACTGCCTTCTGAAGGGCGGTGGATCTGACTACAAGTAGATACAGTGTACCACCACTGGACCAAGGAAATGCACTATTTACGTTGCAAGCAACACGCTACCTAGGGAGCGGCAGGGCAGGACGCGGGCTTCAGACTGCAAACAGTCTGGAGAATCTTAAGTAAACAGCTCAGAAGCCCGGCTTCCTGTTTATACAGTCTGCAGCCACTTTATTGCTAACTACGAGGTGATCCAGCACTCCGGCTGAATCTGAGAATTTTTAGGCTTTGCACACAAGAAGAGGGACGACAAAGCCGAGGAACCCGCAGACACACAAAGGAACAAAACCAGACGAGACGCCTGCCTTCCGGCCCTGGCAGCGAGCAGTCCACGCACGCCGACCGCCAGCTCAATCTATTTCCAGGTCACTGTCCTCGCTGTGGCAGGTGGCAGAGTCACGCACAGCCGTCAGCAGCAGCACTTCCTTCTCCGGGAGTAACCCAAACTCCTGCAGAAAAGCCTCCAGGTCCACGGCGAAGAAGTCTTCCCCCAGCTGGTCGGTGACACGAACGAAGTTGCCGATCAGCTCGCCTCCCTTGTAGATGAGCAGGGCTGGGAGCGCGTTCCTGGTGAACCGACTGCTGGCCCCGATGACCGAGCTCCGCACCCGGCAGAACTTCACGGCCGGGTACTCCCCGGCCAGGCAGATCATGCAGCCGTGCATGGCCTCCGTCCCGGGGACGCCGTCCTCGTAAATGTGCACCATGATGAGGGTGCTTTTCTGCTCTTTGTCGATCATGTCTAAAAACCCTTCTCCGCTGGGGATCTCAAAAACCTGCTTGAACTGGGGCCCCCGGTGCAGCTGCCGCCGCATCTCCTCCATCCTCTGCTTCCGGTACTGCTGCAGAAATGCTTCGTCGTCCTGGTCCTCGTTCATCACCGCGAACTCCTTCAGGGTCATCTGCAGGCGGGCCGGCAGGTGAGCACGAGGACCGGCGCGGCACACTCCCGGGAACGGGCAATGCACGCTGGGCACCGTGCTAAGTGCTTTACGTCCACCCTGTCTCACTGGATCCTCAGGACAGCCCCATCGGGAAGGGACTCTCACCACCTCCGGTTTTTGCTGTTTCTTTTTTAAATCAGTGAGATCCCAAGATTTAACACTATTTGCACGAGTTCACACAAATACTGAGTGTAAGACCCGGACTCAAACTAGATTTTTAAAATCCAGCCTTGTAGCCCCCGTAGCTTATTTTCTCTCATCCAATTAGGCTGTCACCTGCTTTTTTATAACTATTCCCTCGTGTTTCCACATTTTCACAAAATTATACATAACGTGTTCTGTTTGGCTCGGCCACTCCTCTGACATTAGGCAGTTTCCAGTTCTGTTCCGCCGCAGGTAACAGCGGGATGGGGGCTGCCTCTCCCAGGACTGACCCACGTGACCGCGGCTTTACTCTGGTCTTTGGCCTCAACATCAGCAAGAGGCCCAGTTAAGTTACAAAAGCATCTTCCTTCTCCCTGCTCCTGTAGCAACCCCTAGCTCTGCCTAATCCTATATAGATTAGGGCCAGTGAGTTGGGCATCTCATTAGATTCAGACCAGTGGGGTTTCTATCACTGCCCACGCCACTCTGAGGGCACTGCTACACTTACCGCCCGTTTTCTTCCCAGAATACCAGGGTGGCTCCCTCCGACCAGTCACAGCTTGTGCCTCAGTCTACCATCCTGAACTCATCCCCCCGGCCAAGGTGACCGGCTCCTGGCTCAATCCTCTCGTGTGCGCCCTGATCTGGGCTGATACTTGAGCTCAGTCACAGCTGAATGCTCAGGCACTCCTGGCCTCGTCCAAGGTCAGAGGGCACAGAGTCCCTTGAATGCTGAGAAGGTAAGAAGGCACGAGGAATCTCGCTGCAAACCTCTGAGAATAAATTCTCAAGAACGGGCTTCAGACAAAACAGAAGAGTATCACGCAAACAAGAAACTCTATCAGAATCCTAACTCGGGACGCCCTGCCCTGGTCACCCTGCCCCGGTCAGCACTGCTTTCATCCCCTCTAAAATGGGGTTGACACCACCACTCTCAGACGGCCATTTCTGGCCTGAGGTCAAAGCTCAGTCACAGATGGGAAATGACATATCCGGAGTGTTTTGGCTGGGCCTTCTCCCCACACAGCCCTGTGCAGAGGAGTGTCGGGGGAGTGAGATGGCAACCTCGTGTACCCCGTGGAGGGTTAGAAAGAGACCCTTTCCCGTGGGCACCAGAAGCAGAGCTGAGACTCAGACCCAGGTGTGCCCTCATCTTGATTCGGCTCCGCAAAGCTTCCCCGAGGCCAAATCAACCACCTGTCCCTCCGGAATCGCGAACCCCAGCCCTCACGGCCAGAGCGGCCTCGCTTCTGCCCGTTACCTTGCTGCTCATCTTCTCCTGGAGGTCCTTCTCTCTCTGTCGCTCCTCCTCTTCGTCCAGATGGGACCTGCAGGTCATGGACAGCTTCTTGATCAGCCGCTCCATCTCCCGGCACTGCTCCTCCCTTTGCTCGGTCTCCAGCTGCTTGAAGCGGCGCCAGTCGTTGATCACGCCTTTAGGACCTGAGTGGGGCGAGCGAGGGTGTGAGCAGCTACCAAGAATGACATCCCAGCTCCCACCTGCCCGAAGCCTGCTCCGTCTACTGCACAGCGAACACTGGGCTTCTGTGCACTCCGCCGCAGGTCAGCGAGGGCCACACACAACAATGCACACAGCCAAGCCTGCGCTCAGCTGTTGCAAGCTGAGTTAAATCAATCAATCAATATTCATCTGCTCAAAGGAAAATACTTGGAAAGCAACACTTACACAAACTGAGGCAGCTCTATAATTTCTGCCATGAAAAAATTCCAAATATGTTAGGTTTTAAAAAAATTACTAGGGGCTGGCACTGTGGCGTAGGGGGTAAAGCCGCCACCTGTAGTGTCAGCATCCCATACGGAGGTTGCTCCACTTCTGATCCAGCTCTCTGCTGTGGCCTGGGAAAGCACAGAGGATGGCCCAAGTCCTTGGGCCCCTACATCCACGTGGGAGACCTGGAAGAAGCTCCTGGCTCCTGGCTTCAGCATTACCCAGCCCCAGCCATTGCAGCCATTTGGGGAGTGAACCAGCAGATGAAAGACCTCTCTCTCTCTCTCTCTTCCTCTCTCTCTGTAATTCAGCCTTTCAAATAAATAAAATAAACCTTAAAAAAAATACTATTTGTCACCTACCAGGATGGTAAAGAGCAGAAGTCTGATAACACAGTAGGAAGACACAGGTATGGAGAAATATCATATTGCTAGTTGAACTACAGTACCCCCTGAACAGACATCAATTTGACAATGTGTCATATCTATGAATTTATACCACCAGTATACTCATATTTAAGATTTATGGGACATCAAACAATTATTAATATGAGAATCAAGATCCAATCCCAGGCCAGTCTGCTCACTACCATGCTGCTATAAACACACATTTGCTTTGTGCAGCAAAAAGGCTGAGGCATACAAAATGAAATCATAACACCACATTACTCTGGATATGGGCCTGGAGCTGGCAAGAAGTGATGACACCTGGATTGATGCATATTTAATAGATGTTGTTAAGCCTGTTCCAGAGCTCAGGGCTTTGCCATACCTGTGTTAACGGAGATGCCTTCCCCTGCCGGCTCGGCCTCTGCTGTCATGGAACTGCTGGCTGGGGCACCCCTGCCCCCGTCCTTGTCCTCATGGTCACTGTCCTCGTCCTCACTGCTGCTGTAGTAGTACTGCAATTTCTCCCCCAGCAACTTGTCATCCAGAGTTGTCATGGCGCCTGGAAGGGGGCAACATATCAGACTCTCAGCCGGCTGGAACCGGATCAACAGCGATGGGAAGCACAGGGTACTCGCTTGTGCTGAGACCCTAGAACTTACAGGACCCTAACAGTGACTTTTTGAAAAGCAGACAGAATCTGGGGTGGGTGTTTGGTGTCAGAGTTAAGCCACCACTTGGGGCACACATAAATCATATCCGAGTACCTGGGTTTGAGTCCCAGCTGCGCTGCCAACTCTCGTAACCCGCCACGTGCATCCTGGGGGACAGCCGTTGATGGCTCAAGGAACTAAGCCCCTGTTACTCACGTGGGAGACCACGACTGAATTCCAGGCTCCTGGCTTTGGTCTGATCCAACCCTAGCAGTTGCTGGCATTTCGGGAGTGAACCAGTAGATGAAAGATATCTTTCTGCCCCACGAATAAATAAAATTTTTAAGAATTAAATAAAAGCACAATCTATAAACTCCTACCTGATCTAGGACACTAGGATTTATTATGCTTTTTTTATTTTTTTTTATTTTTATTTATTTATTTTTTGACAGGCAGAGTGGACAGTGAGAGAGAGAGAGAGACAGAGAGAAAGGTCTTCCTTTTGCCGTTGGTTCACCCTCCAATGGCCACCGCGGCAGGCGCGCTGCAGCCAGCGCACCACGCTGATCCGATGGCAGGAGCCAGGTACTTATCCTGGTCTCCCATGGGGTGCAGGGCCCAAGGACTTGGGCCATCCTCCACTGCACTCCCTGGCCACAGCAGAGAGCTGGCCTGGAAGAGGGGCAACCGGGACAGAATCCGGTGCCCCGACCGGGACTAGAACCTGGTGTGCGGCGCCGCAAGGCAGAGGATTAGCCTAGTGAGCCGTGGCGCCGGCCTATTATGCTTTTTTAAAAAAAGATTTTTTAAAATTTATTTGAAAGGCAGAATTAGAGAGAAAGAGAGAAATCTTCTATTGACTGGTTCACTCCTCAAATGGCCTCAATGGCCAGGGCTGCCATGCCAGGGCCAGGAGCCAGGAGCTCCCTCTGAGTCTCCCACACGGGTAGCAGGGCCCAACACTTGGACCACCTTCCACTGCTTATATCATTTCTGCACATTATACGGTGCTCTCTTATTAGAAGGTAAAATTTCAGGCTCAATAAAGCAAGTTCCTTTTCCCACCTTCAGAGCAAACAGTGGAGCTGGGCCCAGACCCCAGGGATCCTGCCTCTGAGCTGAATTACTGCCTACACTTGGCTGGCTGGAATCGACTTTACAGACTGATGGCTTTACCTATGCTTTTAGTTTGCCTGCCAAGACTGCTGGCAACTGAAAACCTGGGTAAGGATTCTCAGGGAAAACTTGAGGAACCATCAAAGGCACGATGCTGAGTTACTGTCTCTGTACCTGGCTTCCATCCTCCCAGCCAGCACACAGAGCCCCCCCCCCCCCCCATTCTGACTGGTTAAAAGAGGGGCCATTGGCCTGAGCTGCGGCTCATGAGGCTAATCCTCCACCTGCGGTGCCGGCACACCGGGTTCTAGTCCCGGTTGGGGCGCCAGATTCTGTCCCAGTTGCCCCTCTTCCAGTCCAGCTCTCTGCTGTGGCCCAGGAGGGCAGTGGAGGATGGCCCAAGTGCTTGGGCCCTGCACCCACAAGAGAGACCAGGAGGAAGCACCTGGCTCCTGGCTTTGGATCAGCGCAGCTTTCCGGCCGTAGCGGTCATTTGGAGGGGTGAATCAATGGAAGGAAGACCTTTCTCTCTGTCTCTCTCTCTCTCTAACTCTGCCTATCAATCAATCAATCAATCAATAAAAGAGGGGCCATAGGTAGGACAGCCAGGGACATCCCGGGAAGAGGTAGGGCTTAAGGACAGAGCAGGAGCGGTCAATCGGCACGCACTTCCCCCTAAGCATGTCGGTTCTGTGCAGCCTTCGCTAAGACCCGCACAGTGCCCGTGTGGGGGCCTCCCACAGCTAGTGTCCAGCCCCGCCGCCCAGCACAGTACACCCGTACAGAGGCTGCAAGGTTCCGAAGGGGCTCTGGGGACCCCGACAGTCAGAGGGGGAGAGGGTTGCACAGGCGACAGGGCCAGGGAGGATGGGGTAGCTAGACGGGCTGCACAAAACCAGCCTAAAGAATGCGGAGGTGCCAGGCAGCAGGCAAAGGGGCGGGGTGGAGGCGGGGCCTGCACGAGTAGGAGGGGCCAGCGGGCGGGGCCAGCGGGCGGGGCGGGGCCGACGGAGGAGCGAGCGGGTGGAGGCGGGGCCTGAGGGGAAGCGAGCTTGCTGAGGCAGAACCTGCGGAGGGGAGCATGCAAGGGGCGGAGCCGCATAGTAGAGTGCCTGAGTGGGCGGAGCCAGCCGAAAGCGCGCTAGGGAGGTGGGCCCGCAGAGGCGCGGGAGGGGCCACCGGGAGAGCCCCGGCAGGGAGCGGCGAGCTGCTACAAGGGGAGGTGGCCGGGCAGCTGTGCCGAGCGTGAGGGTCGAGGGGGCAGGAAGGCAAGGCAGGCCCTCCCGGGCTCGCCAACCGTCCGCCCGCAGTTTCCTCCCGGCTCACCCCAGGGTAGTTACCCGCCTGGCTCCGTCTGGATCCCTGAGGTAGCAGCTCCAGGCACCGGAAGGAAGGGAAAGCTCACTTACAGGAAGAGAAGTGGGTCGGTGCCCTGAAGAGAGAAGCCGGCGGAGTCCCGACTGCGAGAGCCAATGGGATAGCCTCCTTGCGTCACGCGGACACACGCTGGCCAATCAGAAGCAGCACCTCCGTGACGGGGGGAGAGGCTACGGGTCCTACTTTGGGACAAAACACCTCGACGACGGAAATACGCCTTCATTAGACTTTTACTGTGATTTGAACAGCAAAAGAGTAAACTGACTATATGCATGCATCTGCTCAGCTTCCAGCGATAAGCGAAATGTATTTATTTTCGAAGTTTCCAAATTCACTGAATTTTTTTTTATTTCAAAGAGCTCTCATCCCCTGGTTCACTCCCCCGAAGTAGGCAACTGCTGGGGCTGGGCAAGGCGGAAGCCCTGGCTCCCACGGTGAGTGGCAGGGGTTTGCATTCGCAGCCAATTGGAATCCAGAGCAGAGCTGGACTGGAACCCGGGCACGTCCAGCAGGAGCTTAACCTCTAAGCCAGATGCCCGCCCCGCCAGCTGTGTTTTTAATTGGTTCATCACATCCCATCTACTGAGACCGAAAACAGGCATTAAGTCGTCTTCACAAGGTTACACAGCCTTAAGTACAGAGCTTGTATTAAAATCGTTTGTTAAAGCCAGATCCCGACAAGACTTTCATTGATTTCTTTTTAATATATTCAAGCTCCCATTTTTATATTCTGGAGGGATACACTCAGTGACAGCTTCGTTTCTAGTCGGCAGGTGTCAGGACTGTACATGAGTTAGTTATCTAGCAGTATCCTTCATAACTCATCTCTCAGAGTTCTGGGATGATGGGGGATCAGGGGATTCTGTCCAGTGAGAGTCCCACATACAATTTAAAAATTGTATTTAAAAATCTTACCTGGATTGTAAAGTTTTTGTGTTTATTGGTAGAACTTATTAAATGTACTCCATAGTGACAAAAACAAGCTTCTTCTGTGATTGTAGGAAGACAAAGTCTTAATCCTGTCAGCTGTTTATGGGCAGTAACAGCAAGGGTGGGAACCTTTTCTCTGCCAAGGGCCACTTGGGTATTTATAACATCATTCATGGGACATATCAAATGATCAGTTTAAAAATTAGCCTGTGATAGATGTACGGAGTTTTGAGTCCCACCTGCGGTTGCCGTCGCAGGGCCAGACCGAACGACTTCACGGGCCTTCTAGGGCTGTGGGCTGGATGCTCCCCACCCTGAGAAGTAACTGAATGAAATTCATAAACGTTTGATTGCCTTGAGCCACGTTTTCCAAGGCTTGCAGTACTCTTTTTTTTTTTTTCCTTCCAAACAATGGTAATTTGAGCTAAAACAAGATTTGGTCTTCCAGAGTTTCTCATATAACTTTTTCCAACATATTTGTAAATTTAGAACAAATTTGAACTTGTCATTTTGCTAATTTATCTTATATAAATGTTAAAGGTCTAGAGAAGCTTTTTTTTTTTAAGATTTATTTATTTATTTCAAAGAACGACAAAAAAAAAAAAAAAAAAAGGCATCACCTATATGCTGGGTCACTCCCCAAATGCCCACAGTGAGCCAGGGCTGGGCCAGGCTGAAGCCAGGAGCCAGGAACCCCATTGAGGTCTCCTAAACGGAATCACCCACTGACTCCCAATCACTTGTACCAGGCACTTTGAAATAGGATGTGGGTGTCCCAAGTGGTGGCTTAACCTGGTGTGCTACAACATCCACCCTTGAGACAGTTTTAAAATTTTTTAAAATTTGAGATAGATAGATAGAAAGCTGCCATCTCTGGTTCACTCCCCAAATGTCCGGAATGGCAGGGGCTGGACCAAGCCAAAGTCAGGAGCTGAGAACTCAATCCAGGTCTCTCACCTGACTGGCAGGGACCCAACTACTTGCACCATCTGTTGCCTCCCAAGGTCTTCATTAGGAAGAAGCTGCAATTAGAAGTGGAGCCAGGACTTGAAGTGTGAGTGTTCTGATTCTTGACTGACAGCGAGATAATAACCTACTGTGAGATAATAAATGTGTGGACTCATTAAATGTTGGGGTAATTTGTTATATGACATTAAACTAATTTTCCTTTTCATCTTATATCTGCTTTGATAAGCTGTATTTTTTTTTTTTTTTTTTGACAGGTAGAGATATAGACAGTGAGAGAGAGAGATAGAAAGGTCTTCCCTCCACTGGTCAACTCCCCAAATGGCCGCCAGGGCCGGCGTTGCACCGATCCGAAGCCAGGAGCCAGGTGCTTCTTCCTGATCTCCTATGTGGGTGCAGGGGCCCAAGGACTTGGGCCATCCTCCACTGCCCTCCCAGGCCACAGCAGAGAGCTGGACTGGAAGAGGAGCAACGGCACTAGAACCGGCACCCATATGGGTTGCCGGTGCCGCAGGCAGAGGATTAACCAAGTGAGCCACAGCGCCGGTCCCAATAAGTTGTATTCTTGAGGAGCTGTTCCTTTCTCTCTCTCTTTTTTTTTAAAGATTTATTTATTTGAGAGAGTTACACAGAGAGAGGTGAGGCAGAGAGAGAGAGAGAGAGAAAGAGAGAGAGAGAGGTCGGATGTTCTTCCATGCGATAGTTCACTCCCCAATTGGCTGCAATGGCTGGAGCTGTGCTGATCTGAAGCCAGGAGCCAGGAGCTTCTTCTGGGTCTCCCATGCAGGTGCAGGGGCCTAAGGACTTGGGCCATCTTCTCCTGCTTTCCCAGGCCATAGCAGAAAGCTGGATGGGAAGTGGAGCCGCCAGGTGGGAAGTGGAGCCGCCAGGTGGGAAGTGGAGCAGCCAGCTCTCGAACCAGCGCCCATATGGGATGCCAGCACTTCAAGCCAGGGCATTAACCCACTGCGCCACAGCGCCGGCCCCAGGAGCTGTTCATTTCTAAGACCTTATAGTCTAATTTATTCCTTTGGAGACAAAGTATATAAATCTATTTGGAGACAGACAAAATATGTAAATCTATTTGCCAAAAAAACTTCAGAAGTAAAGACTTACGTCCACACAAAAACATATATACAAATGTTCATCGCAGTTTTATTTGTGATATTTAAAAATTTGAAACAACTCAAATGCTGTTCAGTGGGTGAATGGTTAAACAAACTGTGGTACATCCATATCATGGTGTACTACTCAGAAATATAAAGGAACAAACCTCATACATGCAACAATGGATGGATCTCAAGGGAATTATACTGAGTGAAAAAGCCAATCTCCAAAAGTTACATATGGTATATTTGTATAACATTCTTGAAATGATAAAATTACAGAAGGAAAACAGATTTGTGGTTTGCCGGTAGCGATGGGAGAATGGGGTATGGGAGGAAAATGGATGTTAATTTAAAGAGGTACCACAGGACTCAGTGAGAAGGAACAGTTACATTATTTTGATAGCAGTGGTAGTTCCACACATCTACCCACAAGAAAATTGCACAATCACACACACACGTGTGCACATGTAAAATGAGGGCATGTATAGCCAGTGAACTCTAAGATCTGTGGATTGCACAAACGTCAATTTCCTGGTTTTGATATTGTTTCCACAGTTATATAAGATGCTACCATTAGTGAAACTGTAAAGAGTACACTGTTCTCTGTACTATTTTTGTAAATTCTGTGAATCTAAATTTCAAAATGTATAAAGCTGAAATTAAAGGACGTGATGATTATTTCAATAAGTACTAACTACAAAGGAAATGGAATGTTCTGGGAAATTCATTTTCTTCATTAAGAGTCCTACCCTTTGTCTGCATCACTTATTCATGGTTCTTCCCCCTCTTCCTGATCTCAATCATTACTTACTCTTGTTTATACAGGATTACATGTTTTTTAATGTCTGTTCTTGCAATGGGGTCTGTGATTTTAAGTCAAATTCACCCCCCTACGATGTGTAGATATTTAACAGACCATCTTTTACACTTCTGTCCAAGTGATCTTCCTAAAATCCCAAGATGTTCAGGTTATCTAAGACTCTTGTTAGTACAGCACTCCATGTTTTTCATGGTGGTCCCTACCTACCTCTTCCAGCTGTGTGCCTTTAGGAAAATTCTCTAAGGTAAGGTTTTTACTTCATTACTTTTACTTCATTACTTTACTTTTATGTCACACATAAAAATGGCAACATGAGAACTATGTGTGGAATATATTAAGTGCTGTGAATTCACTATTTATATTATTACTCAGTGAACCTTAATTCCTTAAACACCTCTTCCACTTAAGGCTAAAATAGGAAACCAGTACCAGCCACCTCTACCGCCACCTCCTCATTGGGAGAAAAAGGACTCCACGACTTTCTACTTAGAAGATCATGGGCAAGGTGTTAACATGTCAAATACAGGAGTTAGATATCCACGGTGAAGGATGGCTGTGGAGGCAGAACAGCTGCTCGCCGTCCTCCCGTCCCTCAACTCCAACGGGTAAATGTCTTCGGCCTACAAAGCCCAGCCAGTCATTCTGCAGAGCAGCACTTTCTCTGGCTTACCAGGAGCAGCTCCCCATAATTTCTCTTTTGGAGTATCCATATACCCTACATTAGAAGATAGCTCATTAAATTATTCAAATATGTCTTTCCCTTTTTCCACATTGTAAGCGTCTAAAAAATGGGCTCATGTCTTATTGATCTTTAGCTTTAATGATCAGCACAGAAAGAGGCTTAAAAGGTATCAGCTGAATGGACAATTAAAACTATTCAGGGTCAAGTGGAAATGGTGTTTAGCCCTACTCAGGCTATTCTCTGTTCATAGTCTGAGGTCCACAGAACCGTCTTCATATTTCTTCTGATCTACTGCTTTGTACTAGTTATTTATGTGTCTGTCATTTTTTATTTTTTTATTTTTTTTATTTTTTGACAGGCAGAGTGGACAGTGAGAGAGAGAGAGAGAGACAGAGAGAAAGGTCTTCCTTTGCCGTTGGTTCACCCTCCAATGGCCGCCGCTGCAGCCGGCGCACCGCGCTGATCCGATGGCAGGAGCCAGGATCCAGGTGCTTTTCCTGGTCTCCCATGGGGTGCAGGGCCCAAGCACCTGGGCCATCCTCCACTGCACTCCCTGGCCATAGCAGAGAGCTGGCCTGGAAGAGGGGCAACCGGGACAGAATCCG